ATGACCAATAAGTATATGAAAAGACACTCAACATCACTAATCAGTAAGGAAATACCAATCAAAACCACCAGATACCACTTTAAACCCATTAGTATGGCTATTATTAAAAAACAACAAACCAGAAAATAAATGTTGTCAAGGATATGGAGAAACTGGAACACGTACACATTGCTGGTGGGAATAAAAATGAAAGGGGCCATGGTGGAAAACAATACAGCAGTGCCTCAGAAAGTTAAGTGGAGAATTATTGTGTGATCCAGCAATTCTACTCCTTATGTACCCAAAATTACTGAAAGCAAGGACTGAAAGAGGTATCTGTACATCCATGTTCACAGTAGTGTTATTCACAATAGCCAAAGATGGAAAACACTCAAATTTCTAGTGACAGATGAATGGATAAACAAAATGTGGTATATCCATATTAACACAATATTATTCAACCTTAAGAAGAAAAGAAGTTCTGACAGATGCTATAACATGGATTAACCTTGAAGATATTATGTGGAGTGACATAAGCCAGACACAAAATGACAAGTGTTACAGGATACTAATTCTGTAAGGTTCCTAGAATAGTCAAACACGGAGAGACAGAGAATAGAACAGTGATTAGCAGAGGATGAGGAGAGAGGTGGATGGGGAATTAGTTTAGTGGGGACAATTCAGGGATTATGAAGAACTTCTGCAGCTAGATGGTGGGGATGGTTGCACAGCACCGTGAATGAACTTAATGCCACCAAACTGTACATTTAAAAATGGTTAACGTGGTAAATTTTACATTTGTACCATAATAAAAAAATCATCAGGGGATGACAGAAAGTTTTGTCAACACTGTGGATAAACTGGAAGCTAACTACATACACAGCTGGTGGCAATGTCAAGGAGTACAAACACTCTGGAAAATAGTGTGGCAGCACCTCAAAAGGGAACCATGTGTCCTTACCTTTTTCTTAAAGCATTTCTTTGAGAAAATTTGTATTTGTAAATCCTTTCTCTATGCTTTTGATAGGATATGTATATAAATCTTGTAAAGCCTCTGTGAACATTATAACCCAAAGATGTTCTTAAGAGGCTGGGAGCCATCTCTTTGAAAGGTAAGCATCAAGAAGGAAGCCCGGAGAAGTTTTGCCCAGGGGAGTGAGATGACCTGATTTACCTTTTAATAGAGCATTCTGGCAGCTACAAGAACAGATGCTGGTGGCAGTAGAGAGGTGCAGGGCCATGCAGGGGTCTTGTTAGGGAGGGAAAGGAACAAGGAGAAGACTGACCTGAACATACTGACCTGGGCTCTGCTTTTACCTCTTAAGAGATTCACTCTTTAAACCACCACCTGCTGGGTCACTAGGCTGCTAAGGGCAGCACTTTCGTGCAAATTAGAAGACCCCTGCCCCCTGCCCCCTGTACAGGGGCAGTCCAAGCACAGCTTGGTGGGTGGAAGGCAACTCCCAGGTGGCCCCCTGGCTGACCACGTGGCCCAGGTTCAGTCCACCCTACAAGGCTTCTTGCGTTCAGATAACAAAGAGAAAATGATGGGGAAAGAAGAACATATTTTCATTGGAGGTAATTGTTTACCTAGATCATTCTTGCATTTTTAAAAATATTTATTTTGAGAGAGAGTGAGCAGGGGAGGGGCAGAGAGAGAGAGACAATCCCAAGCAGGCTCCCTACTCAGCAAGGAGCCCCATGCAGGGCTCGATCTCACAACCACGATATCAGGGCCTGAGCTGAAATCAGGAGCCACTCAACCAACTGAACCACCCAGGTACCCCTCCCTGCATTTTTTGAGTTTTAGATTTCAAGAATAGTTCGACTTCTGGGTGTAAAGCAAACTCATGATGTGTATCACCTTATTACAACTCTTCCAGAAGAGCACAACCTCAGTGATTACAATTTAGGTTCATAGACTCAGAAGAGACACACACCCTGCATGCCATCTCCTTCCATCTCTCAAGTTAAAGCCTACATACCTGGGATGACAGTTCGTTTTTGTTCTTTTTGTTTTGTTTTTCCTATTTGTGAATAGTATTGAAATAAAAGTAATTTTTTTTAAAAGAGGATATTTGGAGGCAGTTAGAGGTTCTAGGAGTCCTACCCCGGGAGCACGGGCTTTTCCATCACTGGCTGCCCAAGGGGAAGGTTTTGGTTTGGGTCTAGAGTGAACAAGCCGAGGCACTCCCATGAACACCGGCTCCCTCACCCGTGCTCGCAGGGGAGTGAGCTGCCCTTGGGCGGGGAAGCTGCTCTGAGGTCCCCTCAGTCCAGGCAGATGGAGCCCCCCAACCCCCCAGGGGTACAGGACAGACACAGCCACATGCCCGGACTCCCAGGGTGGCCCATGTGACTTCCACCTCTGAGGGAAGAGAGGGGGTTCATCCCATCCAGAGACACCCACATACTGGTCAGCTGTGATGTCCTTATGTCTGTCCGACGTCCACCCATGGTCTAGCCTCAGGGACATCTCCCCAGAATGGAGGAGGAGGCTGACTGGACTCCTACCCCACCACCCGCTGGCCCCAGAGCCTCTCAGGACAGCTTTGGACTCCAGTCACACTATCTATTCCCCTTAACTGAACGAATACTCACTTCACTCAGATTCATTAATAGATCAGAGGCTCCTGAGGTCAGGGCAAAGGGAGCCCTGCTCTTCCTCTGACTTTCCATGCCAGACCCGGCTCACACCCAACAGTGGGACTGAGGACCCTCCTCAACCCCACCTGGTTCCCTGATGGCCTGCATTCTCTGATCACTTCGTGGTGGCCTCTACCAGCTTCCACAGAATTTGTGTCCTTCTTCCAAATCAAAGTTAAAAAGATAGAAATACAGACAAGGGTGGTTCCCACATCAAAAACCTCAACCTATGGCAGGAAGAAGGCTCCCCTGACCTGGGGACTTGGAGAAGGAGTCCACCTATCCCGCGGGTCCTCTGTGGGGCCCACAGCATGAGGGGCCGTCACTGACTCGTGTGGACCTGAGGACAGCCGGGACCAGTCCCCACTTCCATGCCAACAGGCTCCCTGTCTGCTGCAGGCTGATCTCTGCAGAGGGTAAACCCGGGTCCGTGGCCAGGTACTTCCGACTCCTCAGGCACTGTGCGTGGCTCTCGGACACAGTCCAAATCCTGTGTCCGGGCTTCCCTGGCTCAGTGGGATCTGGTCCCTGCTGCTCTCTCCTGGCTCCCATCAGCACCTGCTGGCTTCCTTTCTCTGCACAAACACAAATGCCCTTTTCTGTGCCTGGACTATTTCTCTGCATCCTCAGATCCCACCTCCTCAGGAAGTCTTTGCCCACTGGGCACGCTCCGCCTGCACCTTTGCCCTCCTGCTCTACCCCCCACCCCCCACCCCACCCCTCCCGCTGAGCCATCTCCCTCCTGCTGCACCCATCCCCCCTCCTGCTGGGCCCGTCCCCTCTGGCCACAAGCTCTCACAGCACTTTGCATCTTTCTGGTGGGGGCCTGACCAGCTGTCATTTCACACCCTGTTTGCACTCAGTTCCTGAACACTTGTGCCCCTACTCGACCCTGACCTGCAGCCAGCGGGACCTGTGTCTTTCTGCCAATGTAACGTTGCCAGTGCCTAGGGTGGAGCTCACTCACCATTTATTACCGACAGGAAAGCCATGGGTGAGGGTTTGAACCCAGATGCTCCAGAGGCCGAGCACCCCCCACCCCCCCAACATTCATCAGCTATCTGTCGCAAACTTCCATGACAGCAGCCTCTCCTGTTCCTCTCCTCTGATGACTTCTCAGTCTTGGCCAGATTCTTCTTTCCTAACCCACCTCGTAAATGGTGAGGTTTCCTAGTATTCTGTCCTGTACCCTGTGCCCTCACCTGGTCAGTTCAAGGTTTCAGATGCCACCTTTGTACCCATAGCGCCCTGACATCCCTTTCGAGTTGCCACAGACCTCAATCAACTGTCCACCAGCGTCTCTACTGAAGCATTCCACCTGTGCCTCAAGCGAGACCCATCCCACAGCGAACTCAGCTACACCCTTAACAAAGGGACCCCTCGTCTTCCCTCCTGGAGCCCACTAGGAACATCTTGCCTACATGACTAAGTGTCTCCAGAAGGTTCCACATCACGTTTTCCCTCATTTTAAATCTATTCCCCAAAATTCTTCCAAGGTGACCATTCTTATTAAATTCAAATTACATAAGGGCTCCATGAATGTATTCTCTGTGAAATATTCAGATTCCACACAAATAAAGCCCTCTTTCATCCTGCCCATTCTTGATCCCCACCCCCGCCCCCATTCTCGATTCCATTCCAAGCGGGACTACTGTTACCAGCTAAGGTGTGTCCCCTAACCTTTCTCTCTGCACTTCCGCACATATTATACATACAAACAGCCACGTAATTTTCCTTAAACACAAATGGGGGCACATCACCATCATGCTCTGTGACCTGCCCTGGAGCTCTGGCCACACCAGCGTGCTCTTCTGTCTGACGCGGCGCTCCATGCCAGGGCAAGGGACTTGCCACAGCTTCTTAAGCCATGCCTTTATTGGAAGACCTCTACATTGTTTCAGATTTAGGCCAATTTTTCTAAAACACCAACACCGTATCATTCTCCTGCTTAAAATCCTTTCTTTCCATGGGACAGTCCATCTCCAAGAATCTTGTTGAAGCACATTGTAACATGGCCCCTGCTAGCTTTCTGACACCCTTTCCTTTCTCAGCTCCTTGTCTCACATGCATCCCCTGAGCCTCCATCAGAATGAATTCTTTGCCACTCTTCAAATACACTGTTTGCTGACTGAATACCTGATGTGCCGCCCTCCTCTGAGAACAGGAAAGAATAAGAGGAGATCCCGAGAGATTCACTTGGGAAGTGATTCCTGCAGAATAAGAGGAGGCTCCTGTCTGGGGCCTTAGTGTCCCCTCCCCGCCACTTCTTGAGGACAGAGAAGCTTCCCCAACCAACATCTCCAAGCCCCACCGTCACTTAGTAAACAGACTGCTGCCCAAAGCAGTTCCCGGGCTCCTCCGTCCCAGCCACTCACCTAGAGAGGGGCCTCCAGGACTTTCTTTCTCTACCTTCCAGGGATCTTCTCCTTGCTGCAACAGGGAGATCACTTTTGGTTTGGAAAACAGGAGTCCTGCTCACACACAAACAAAAGAAAAATAAAATGAGACAAAAAAACCCAAGTCTTTGTTTTGACTCAAAGAAGCATCACAGATCTATGTAGAAAACTCAGAGGATGGTACAAAGAGATTCTGGGGGGTGCTCCCGCTGTGTCCCCATGATGTGAGGGCATGTATGAGGGAAAAGGCAAGTGACCTTTAGGACATACCTATGTAATAATTGTATGTTAGAGAAATATGATAAATATGCAGCTTTGATTCATGGAGTATCAAGGGCTTTCTACAGAAGAGGGACTATGTTAGATGTACAGACTACATATTTGTGAACAGGTACCAAGTCCCCTGTTTAAAATGAGAAAACACAGGGGTGCCTGGGTAACTCAGTTGGTTAAGCATCCAACTCTTGATTTCAGCTCAGGTCATGATCTCACAGATTGTGAGTTCAAGTTCCACGTCAGGCTCTTCACTGACGCATGGAGCCTGCTTGGGATTCTCTGTGTCCCTCTCTCTCTGCCCCTCTTCCACTTGCTCTATCTCTATCTTGAAATAAATAAATAAACTTAAAAAAAATGTTTTTAGGTATGCCTGGGTGACTCAGGTTAAGCATCTGACTTCGCATCAGGTCATTATCTCATGGTTCTGGGGTTCAAGCCCCACACAGGGCTCTGTGCTGACAGCTCAGAGCCTGGAGCCAGTTTCAGATGCTGTGTCCCCCTCTTCTCTGCCCCTCCCCTGCTCAATTTCTCTCTCTCTCTCTCTCAAGAACAAATAAACATTAAAAAAGATTCTTTTTAGTTTTTTTAAACGAGAAAACACTATCTGACTCCCTTTCAAAGATGGATCATACAATGCTCATTGGGATGTAAAAGCGAATTGGGAAAGGCCAGTGGTAGGTTGATGGATGCTGTCTGCTGTGAGCCAAGCAAACAAATCACAGAAACTCCTATAGCGGGAAAATGTGGCCTAACCAAGAGGGAACTTCTAACATAAAAGTATGTCAGTTGTCCTGTCATGGGAGAAATCCATGCCTATAAGGGGAAAAAAGTTTTAATAGTTATTAACAATTTGTACAGTCTTAAGGCAAAATTCAGCTAAAAGTTCCTGATGACCCATGGCTTTTATCCTGGGAAGCAGGTGTTGACTTATCCTAATTTCTGAATTTTTTTTATCTACAGAGAAAATTTCCTTACCCAATGAGACCAGGTTACTATAGTTCTCCAGCATCACGTCCTGGTACAAGTTTCTCTGAGAAGGACCCAGCTTTCTCCACTCCTCCCGTGTAAAGAGCACAGCCACATCCTCGAAGGTCAGTGACACCTGTAATGACAAGCCATCCCAGCTCACCCAGGACCTCCCATCACACAGAGTGAAGAAGGTGGCAGTGGGGGGTAGATGGGCTCCCATGAAACGTTTCTGATGTTATTCTGGTTTCTGAAGGTTTCAGGTCATTTGTTTAATGAACAAAAGGCCAGTGACAAATATATACTGAAGTGTTCATGAAAGCATGAATTGTTAACCAGGCCCTGTGTTAAACACTGTAAGGACATGTGGGGAGGAATTAAGGACATTAGTGGGAATGTTAATTAGAATAACATTTCTGATGACAATTTGATAATAGATATTTAAAGACTTAAAATGTGTGGATCTTTTAACTTACCAATTACTATATTTGCATCACAATGAACAGTGTGCAAAAATGGACCTCCAAGGTGTTTATCATGATGTTACTGATAAAATCACTGCAGGCTTAAGTTAGGTTAACTAACTTGAGACACTGTCTTGAAGCCAGAGGACAATAATAATGGAAACCTAAATAGCTATTATTTATTGAAAGCTTTCTTTGGACCAAGCTCTTCTTAAGAGATTTGTATTAACTTTTAGTGTAAATACTTATCTTTACAACAACTCTATAAAATAGGTACTATATTGCCCCCATCTTACACGAGAAAAAAAAGAAATTTGTCCAAACCAAACAGCTGGTATAGAGGAAGACTCACTCCCCCTGTGTATCGACTCTCAATACTACAATACTGCTTTACTTCTGACACCAGACATGTGTGTTTTCCACATGCCAAGCAATTGTGTGACACCAGCTAGGTGTCTTACGATTTAATTCCATTCTCATGCCATCTATCTGGAGAGAGAGCCCAATTCCACAGGTTAAGGCTCAGTCCACAAAACTGCCTCAACTTCAGATGCCAATCCCAAGTCCAGATGGTAACCTGTGCTTCTTATCAAGTGGCTATAAATTGCACAGGTTTCCACCACTCCCTTCCTCAGGTTTAATTAACTTGCTCAAGTGGTAAATGCAGGGAAAGTGCCACAATGCAGGAAAACATTTACTTAATAGATTACTGGTTTATTCCAAAAGGATATTATTGAGAACAGACCCGGGAAAGAGGTGAAAGGTATGTGGGAAGGGTGTGGAGCTTCAACGCCCTCCAAGGATGCACCACTCTCCCCACCGACAACTGTTCACCAACCCAGAAGCTCTTCGAACCCTGTCCTTCTGGGTTTTTATGGCCGCTTCATTACATAGGCACAATGGATCAAATCACTGGCCATTAGATAGGCATGAATGGCCCTGGGTTGGGGTAGAGAGCCTGAAAGATCGAACCCTCTAATCAAGGTTGGTTCCCCTGATTGGACTGGATCCTTAGGGGCTTTTCAAAAGTCACCTCATTCATATCAACTTTGGCTTGGTTGAAATGGCTTGTTATGAGTAACAAAACACAGCAATTTCACCTTTGTTGCTCTGAAGTTATTTCAAGAATAAAAACCAACTATTATTATTCATCATTTAGCTTCCAAACCCTTATAATCTCCTATGTGCCAGGAACAGGAATGAAGACCAAATATATATTTCATACTATGAATCACAATATCACAGCTGGTCAGAGGTAGAGGTAGAATTGCAATTTGGAGGACGTCCAAGTCTCCGTTCTTAACAACTCTGCAATACTGCCTCTCAATGTCTACCTCATGAGGTTAAGAAATAAATGGGATAATCTATACAACGGAGATGGATGGTGGTGATAATCGCACAATAATGTGAATGTACTTAATACCACTGAATTATACATGCAAAAAAAGCTAAGGTGATAATGTCATGTATATTTTATTACAATAAAAAAGCTAAAATGGTAAAACAGATGCATACCTATGTACATATAAATACATACATAAACAAAACACAAAAGTGAATAGAAAAGGATTCTGATGGACATATACCAAAGGGGTGACAGCAACCATCTCTCGATGCTGCGTTAAGAGTGATTTCACTTTCAGGGCGCCTGGGTGGCACAGTCGGTTAAGCGTCCGACTTCAGCCAGGTCACGATCTCGCGGTCTGTGAGTTCGAGCCCCGCGTCGGGCTCTGGGCTGATGGCTCGGAGCCTGGAGCCTGTTTCTGATTCTGTGTCTCCCTCTCTCTCTGCCCCTCCCCCGTTCATGCTCTGTCTCTCTCTGTCCCAAAAAAATAAATAAACGTTAAAAAAAAAAAATTAAAAAAAAAAAGAGTGATTTCACTTTCTTCTTTATGTATATATTTTTTATTTCTGAAATTTAATTATTTTTTTAAAGTTTATTTATTTTTGAGAGAGAGAAAGAGAGTGCAAGTGAGCGTACAAGCAGGGGAGGGACAGAGAGAGAGAGGGGGACACAAAATGCAAAGCAGGCTCCAGCCTCTGAGCTGTCAACACAGAGCCCAACGTGGGGCTTGAACTCACAAACTGCAAGATCATTACCTGAGCCGAAGTTGGAGTCTTAACCGACTGAGCCACCCAGGCACGCCTATTTTCTGAAATTTTAAACATGAGCATGCAATACATGCATAATAAGGTAACTTAGAAATAGTTAATATAGTTAGAAATAGTTAATATAGAAATAATCTTAGCCCTCATAAGAATTTACGATCCAACTGACAGACCAGAAGAAAACCGTGTGCAATGATTTGCTCAATGAAAGGAAACTGTGTAGCTGGACAGGCCTGTATGCCATTTCCCAGTTCAATCCTCATTTTAGGGACGAGAACCAGAAGTTCCAGGGCAGTCAAGACCCAGGTCACATACTTTCTTAGTAGCAGAGGCAGGACAACAATTCAAGTCTGCCTTTAACCCAGCACTCGGTATATTCTCTCTCTGCTCTTAAACACCCTGTCACTGACTTTTACACACAAGCCCGTGCAGGTGACAAAAGGGTGGCAGGTGAGGTTAGGGAGAATGCCACGAGGATTCACTCACACACAGGGATGGAGAAGATTCTGGCCAAAAGAGTAACATGGCTCCAATGGAATGGAAGAGGAAAGCCTTAGAGAAAAGCAGCTGGAACATGCAATGGCAGGCCTCGGCCCAAAGATCAGACACTAGCGAGTTTCATGGGTCCGAAACACAATGTCACAGTGGAGAAGGGCGCTGGTGACACGGGAGCTGGGTCTGCCCTGAGTTCTGAGAGAGGCACCAGGGGAATGGCTGGACAGTAATGAGCATGAACCCAGAGGCCAGACACACTTGGGTTTGAAATCAGGTCACCGGGCTTCCTTGAGCCTCCATTTCCTCATGTGTAAAATGGGGATGATGGGGCACCTGGGTGGCTCAGTCGGTTAAGCGTCCGACTTCAGCTCAGGTCAGGATCTCGTGGTCTGTGAGTTCGAGCCCCGCGTAAGACTCTGGGCTGATGGCTCAGAGCCTGGAGCCTGCTTCCGATTCTGTGTCTCCCTCTCTCTCTGCCCCTCCCCCGTTCATGCTCTGTCTCTCTCTGTCTCAAAAATAAATAAACGTTAAATAAATAAATAAATAAATAAATAAATGAAATAAAATGGGTATGATAATTGCTGCACAGGCAGGAGAGTGAGAACAAAGGCAAAGCCCTCAGGAAGTCCCCCCACGGGACATTAACTGCTACTCTCAGGTGAAGGTGAGTCATGGAAGGACCCGTATCTCCCGGGTCCTGGAAACACTGGATGGCAGTTCCCGTCTGTCAGCACTGATATTACTACTGCAGTAACATCATCAGCTCCCAGAGCTGCCACACAGTGACCATCTGCAAGGGCCCGGCCCGATCTAAACACTTTCCATGCACTTGAATTCACGTGATCCTCTCACCTGCCCTATGAGGTAGACATGGTTGTGATCCCCACTTTCCAGGTGTGGAAACAGGCACAGAGAGATGGAGCTATTTGTCCAAGGCCCAGAGACAACAACCAAGGAGATGGGTTCAAATCCGGCAGTCTGGCTTAAAAGCCCCACTTGTCAGCCACCGGATACCCTGCCTCTCCACTACTGATACCCCACGAAATCCTCGCCGCTGCTTCCTGAGGAGTCATCTTTCTGCCCTCGCAGTCAAGAGACCTCTCCAACTGTGTCCCCTCCAACACGGCTATTCCTTGTTCATGCACGGGCCTCCTGGGATGGGGTCCCTCCCCCGTTCCACAACATGAAGATGAAAATGGCAGGTCAAGAACAGTTTTCAAGAGAATGCGGAAGCAAGGCACATGATCCAAAAGGTTAAGAGAGAGAAAAAAACACTGGTCTGGAAGAGCCTAGGGAAGGTATCATAAAGAAAAGTCAAAGGCAGGGAGGGAGACCAGGGCAAGCCAAGGAAGCAAGGCCAGAAAGGAACTGCCAAGTGTGCATGTTTGTTCTGTCCCCATGTGACATCTACCTGTCAAGTTAGTAATCAGACAGTATATTGTGATTAATGAATAAAAGAGTGTCTGTTAGGAAAAGAAAAGAGAAACACTGGACATGGCGGGTAGGAGGTTAGCATTCCCTACACAATCTGCCATCCACCAGGGTGGACCAACTCTTCAAAGAGAAAAGGGCTTGGGCTCCAACCCCTGGAGAAGATTATACTGAGTAGGGAACTTCAGTTCCCAGGTGGGTAAGTAAGAAAGTCAATCAATCAATCAATCAATCAATCTGTCTCTAAGATCTGAGATGGCAATGAACTCACCCGAGGCCTCGCTTCCCTCTGTCCAATAGCCATATCTTCTTTCTGGGCTCTTCCCTTAGGATGGGTGGTGTCTCCAGAAGGCAGATCTGAAAGAAGAAAAAGGGAGCCAGGAGGGAGAAGCCCCTTCTGCTTTCCAACCCCTCAGAATCACCAACTCTGAAATCCTCACACCACCTGAGAATGACCCCATGTGCCCCCAGAGAGGGAAATAAGGAGCTGGGAGCAGACAGGACCAGAGAAGTGCCGGGTCGCTCTGGCTCAGAGAAAAAGGGTGTAGGACTTTATCAGCAGCCGCAGCGACTCACTGAATCTCACCGCATGCCAGGGACTGCCAACACCGGTTTAGTCCAGCAGCACAGCTGCCATTGTCAGCACCCCCATTCTACAGATCAGGAAATCGAGGGTAGAGCGGGAGCACCTTGCCCCAGTTCACCCAGCCAGGGAGGGTGCACCGGGATCTATACCACGCGCCTCCAGAACACCTGCCCCAACCTCGCTGCCTGCATGGGACAACTTTTCTCCACCTCAAGCTTTCCCCACCCAACCCCCCTCCTGTCAAGGAATCTCCAGATTTTTGGAGAAAACCGCTTCGGAAAGGGATGACATCAGTTTTCCTATGGCTGCTATCTGGAGAACAGGCAGAGAAACCGAAAACCTCGGTTCCCGTCCAGGATCTGCCGTCGGGGGAAGCGGACAACTCACTTCTGGCGGAAAACGCATCTCTGCGCCCGCCGCCTGGAGGGCAGTGCCGCCGGTGAAGGGCGGAAACACAATTCCTCACGTTTGCTGACAACCGGTAGCTGGGCAGGTAGCACTCTGGAAACCGGTTGGGAGGGAGCGGAGGGGGCCTGGGCCGGTGGGGACAAGTGTCCGACCTGCCGAGGTCACGGGCACGACCGCGGGACGGCCGGTGCCAGGCGGGCACATCGGGGGTGCCCAGCCCCTGGCCCGCCCACAACTACAAAGAGCCCGCTCGCGCCTCCCGGGCCTGTGCCCCGCGCCCCGGCGCCGCATCCTCCCGAGGCCCCGGTCCTCCCTCCCTCATTCCACCGACCCTCCGCCGCTCACCTCGCCAAGACCTCAGGGCACCGCGCCTCCCCGGCCGTGCGCCGCAGGCTGAGGCTCCAGCGCTGCTTCGGCGGACAGCAACCCGGGGTCAGAATCCTTCCCCTGGCGCTGCCTGGGCGCTGCCTGCGCGGACCTGAGGCCCGGAGCCGCTTGCTGCTGAAGCCGGGTGTCCAGAGAGGCGGGGCAGGGGGTGAATTAGGGACGGCCGCTAAGGCCTCTGGGGAATGTAGTTCACGCGAGGACCCAAGCATTCTGGGAAGTGTAGTTCTGCGCGATAGCCTGTCACGTGCCCAGATCCCACTTCCGGGCTCGGGGGTCACAGTCCTTGAGCTGCGAAGCTGTGTCTTCCAGTACCACGGAATGCAAACGTAGGTTCGCCAAGGGCGGTGCCTTGAAGCTGGGCATCTGGGTAAATGATAGTAAGGCAAGTAGACAACCGCCGAGAACAAACGTATTTTCCCTTCAGTGATTCAACCGCATGGTATCTAGCACCTGCTACGTGCCAAACACCATTGTTTGGAAATCAGTTGGTGAACAAAGCAAAGATCATTGCTTTCGAGAACTTTTGGGGAAGTTGGTACAGAGCAGACAATAAGCCATGAACATAATTATATAACATTTTAGAAAATACGCGTTATGGAAAACAGCGAAAGGAAAGCAGGGTCGGGGGATCTGGGTGGGTTTGGAAGAGTGGGGTTTCTCTGGCAGCCCTCCAGGAGAGGCAATGGAGGGAAGATTACAGGGCAGTGAAGGAGGGTAGGGGCATTCTAGGTGCAGAGAAGTCAAAGGCTATCTTTTCGTTCTTCCTTCCTTCCTTCCCTCCCTTTTCTCCCTTTTTTTCGTACTAGGAATATGTCCCATTTGGAAGGTTTGCACCTGATGCCAGTACACAGAAGAGGTTATCGATTTGGTGAACATCTTTTAACAGCCCTTTAAACTCCATGTTAATCTCTCAATCACTGCTGACCTCCTTTTAACAAAATGGAATCTTGCAGATAGCAATTGTAACCTCTTTTGGGTTTTTCCCTGCTTAAGAATGTGGTTTGAGCATTTGAATTTGCCAATAAATAGTCTCCTTCAGTACTATTTTGAATGGCTTCAGCGCATCCCACTACGACTAATTAAATTTTTTTAGTTACGTGTATTGAACTAAGCTCAATTTATTTAACCCTATTGTTATATTATTTCCAGTTTTTTGCTCCATTAATATTCTTGTACCTATATCTTTGAAGATTGTTTTCTTAGTTTAAAATTCTTGAGTTACTGGATCAAAGACTGGTGGAATTCTAAGCCCATTGTCTAGTTGCGTTCCTGGAAGATTTTACAGTTTTTATTTCCATAAGCAGTTGGTGACAATATGTGCTGTGCCTAGCATCCATGCCTACTCTGTTTTTTTTTTTAACATTTTTTTTGAAAAAGCTTTTGTTTATTCAGTAGGCCAAATTTTTTATATCTAATTTTGAGTACTTGTGAAATTAAATATGATCTCTTATGTATCGAACCATTTAAATATTTTCCAATTTTAATTGCTTGTATATGTACTTTATATTGAAATGTTCAAGGGGGCCTGGGTGGCTCAGTCTGTTAAACATCTGAAGTCTGGGTCACCTCATGATCTCAGTTTCTGGGTTTGAGCCCCATATCAGTGTGGAGCCTGCTGGGGATTCTCTGTCTCTCTGTCTCTCTCTCTGCTCCTCCTCCCCTAATGCTTTTTCTCTCTCTCTCAAAAATAAATAACTAAACGTTTAAAAAAAAAGTTTTCAAAATTTTGGTATATTGCATATGCACAAGTTTTGTAAAGAGAGACGTTCTTTATTGTTTACCTGATTTTGAAAATAAAATTATAAAAAGTTTACACATAGTATGTGGAATGAAGAAATATTAATAAAGAAACACTACGTCTATTCATATATGCTACTGTGTGTGCTTACACACATTTGTGTGTATGAAACAAAAGTAGAATCATATTTTTTCATACTTTTAAAAATGTGAAATATCCAGAAAGGCAATTGGAACATACAATCCAACAATAACATAATTAAAAAATAATTTATATATAATTTATAAAATTTATAAAAAATAATTTAAAAAAAATTTTTAATGTTTATTTTTGAGAGAGAGAGTGTGCATACAGAGAGGGGCAGGGTGGGGGAGACAGAGGATTCTAAGTAGGCTCTACCTGACAGCAGAGAGCCCAATGCAGGGCTCCAACTCACCTACCATGCAATTGTGACCTGAGCTGAAGTTGAGTGCTTAACCAACTGAGCCACCCAGGCACCCCAACACCTAATTCTAAAGACATCTACCCAAGTTGAGAAGTAGACCCCTTCTCATATTAATAGTAGAATCTAGGTGATTGTATATGGGTGTTCACTATAAAATTCTTTCAACTTTGTGTTTGAAAGTTTTCATAATAAAATGTTGGGAAAAACTCTGTATCAGGGGTTTGAGACAAAACAGATGACCACCATTCCTCCTAAGTCATTCCTCTTACAACTGAAAAATCCTGGGCAAACAATAAACAAGCATATGAAGACTCTGAAATGTGAAAAGAAGAAGGCAAATTGTAAGAACTTCAGGGCTGAGGAGCAACATGGTGATAAATTCCCTTTGTTTTTTCTTATCTTCTCCCGTATCTTTCTGCTAATGTGTTCCAGAAGCTGCCATACCAGAACCTCCAACAGACACAGACCAAAAAAGCTCTAAGCCTGTTCCTCCTTGTCAAAACCAGGAAAAGGGTGGCCTAACAGAGAACTTTGTTGGTAATGCCCACCTTACTTCAAACACCAGTGGAAAAAACACCCCCTTGCCCTGATCTGAAAGATGGAAGCCAGAGGAAATAGCATATGTTTCTCAAGTGGAATGAGAGGAATTGTCAACAATCAATTCTATATCCAGTGAACATATCATTCAGGAATAAAAAGGAAATAAAGACATTTTCAAAAGATAACTAAGAGTATTGATTGCCAGCAAACCCACCCTTAAAGAATAACTGAATGAAATACTTTAAACGAAGTAAATGGTAACAACAACAAAGGCTTGAAACTGATGAAAGAAAAGAACATAAAAATGGATTAAAAAAGGGATGGGGGATTGGGGCACCTGGGTGGCTCAGTCAGTTAAGCGTGCATCCGACTTCAGCTCAGGTCATGATCTCCCTGTATGTGATTTCATTCATGTGATTCCAGCTCAAAGCATGGAGCCTGCTTCAGATACTGTGTCTCCCTCTCTCTCTACCCCGACCCACCCCCCTTGCACTCTGTCTCTCTCAAAAATAAATAAACATTTAAAAAGCTTTTAAGGGGGGGGGGGTAAAAAAAACGGATACTATAAAATACACTATCCTACTCATGAGTTTCTTACGTCAGACATGATGGTTGAAGCAAAAATAACACCATTTGACATTCTTGATGTATATAATGGGAATACTTAATTATATTTTAAAAGTGAGGAGGCATGGAAGTAAGGTTTCTGCACTCGGCTGACTGATAAGTTATGAATGTATATTGTTATATCTAGAGCAACCATCAAAAAAAAAAAACTACAAAGTGATACACTCTAAAACACTCTATAAATCAGGATGGAAATCTGAAAATCTTAAGAATAACCCACGAAATGACCAGAAAAGAGAAACAGAGGAACAAGAAGCAGGAAACAAACTGAAAACTAACTAAAATTCCTTTGTCTCGCATTAATCAAATGGCTCTCAATGGGCTAAATACTGACTCTGTCCCAAGGTTTTTCGTTTTTCATTGCCTGATAAGAGTAATAATAATTGTGAAGAAAACATGCTGCTGTAATAAGCCAGTCACAAAAAGACAAGTAACCTATAAGTCTCCTTACATGAGGTACCTAAAGTGGTCATAATCATAGAAACAGAAAGTAGAATGGTGGTTACCAGGGGCTAGGAATGGGGAGTTAATGTTTAACCAGTACAGCATTTTAGTTTTGCAAGATGAAGAGTTGCGGTGATGGGTGGTGGTGATGGTTGCATAACACTATGAATGAATTTAAGACTACAGAACTGTACACTGAAAAGTAGTTAAGATTGTAAATTGTATTGTGTATTTTTATATTTGTAATTTACCACAATAAAAAACTTTTCAAAAAAAATCCTGCTGCTGAAAACATTCTGTACACACTGGTGTAGCCTTCATAAGTTTTTCAAGGATTTGCAGATGACTATGGGTACATAAAGATTTTCCCTGGCAAAGAACAGACTCTCAGATCAATGGAACAGAATAGAGAACCCAGAAATGGACACAAAAACGTATGGCCAACTAATCTTTGACAAAGCAGGAAAGAATATCCAATGGAATAAAGACAGTCTCTTCAGCAAGTGGTGCTGGGAAAACTGGACAGTGACATGCAGAAGAATGAACCTGGACCACTTTCTTACACCAGACACAAAACTAAAGTCAAAATGGATGAAAGACCTCAATGTAAGACAGGAAGCCATCAAAATCCTCGAGGAGAAAGCAGGCAAAAATTCTTTGACCTTGGCCGCAGCAACTTCTTACTCAACATGTCTCCGGAGGCAAGGGAAACAAAAGCAAAAATGAACTACTGGGACCTCATCAAAATAAAAAGCTTCTGCACAGCGAAGGAAATAATCAGCAAAAACTAAAAGGCAACTGACAGAATGGGAGAAGATATTTGCAAATGACATATCAGATAAAGGGTTAGTGTCCCAAATCTATAAAGAACTTATCAAACTCAACACCCAAAAAACAAAGAATACAGTGAAGAAATGGGCAAAAGACATGAATAGACACTTCTCCAAAGAAGACATCCAGATGGCCAACTGACACATGAAAAAATTCTCAACATCACTCATCATCAGGGAAATACAAATCAAAACCACAATGAGATACCACCTCACACCTGTCAGAATGGCTCACATTAACCACTCAGGCAACAACAGATGTTGGCAAGGATGTGGAGAAAGAGGATCTCT